TCGATTGGCTGCCTCCTGCACGCCCCACACTGGGGATCGAGCCCGATACCCTGGCATGCGCCCTGACTGGGAATCGAACTGGGACCTCTCAGTCCATGGGACAACCCTCATTCCACTGAGCCACACTGGTCGGGCTGAAAAGAAAACTTTAAAAGAATCTGAGTGAAGTACTCAGAGTAGGGAAGAAAATAATGATCACAAAGGAAAGCTGCACGAATAGGAACAATTCGTGAAGTCAGGGAATAAACAAAAGAAAAGAAATCGTTCTGAGGAATACATCAGGGATGATGTGCTCAAGATAATAATTAATGGCTATTATGCAATACAAATATAAATTCAAAGAGAAGTGGGAGAAAAAAATTAGTTTGGAGAGACAAACGGTGACGATGTGGAGACAATCAAGTTTTATTACAGACCCAGTTTTTTTCAAATCCTTTTTTTAAACAAGGTATGGAATATTAATAAATGAAATACAAACTTTTAAAAATTTTATCTTCACCCAAGGACATGCTTAATGATTTTAGAGAGAGGGGAAAGGAGAGGAGAGAAGAGAGAAACATCAATGTGAGAGAGAAACATCTAGAACCTGTGCCCTGACCAAGAATTGAACTGACAAACTTTTGGTGTAGGGGATGATGCTCCAACCAACTGAGCCAGGGTGAAATACAATCTTTAATATGGATATATATAATCAGAATCCTTACAAAAATATAATAGGCACTGATACTAAACATATTTTTAGGAAACTGTACCCAATGGGTGGTCAATCTCATTAATTTTTTCTATCAGTTTGAGCAAGCACAGTAAGATACTTCTCAGAGAATGCTTTTGTGTTTAAGTCCTTGTCACACAAAAAGGTCAGCTCCAGAAATGCTAGTTCAGGTCAAACCATTAGAAATCTAGTATGATTCAGAATTGTTTGGATTTTAGCTGGGTTGCTATGGATTTCTCGTTCGATGCAGGGCCAGGTACCTCGCACGCCATCCTGTTCTATCTAAAGGCCAGTTCAGAGTTGGAATCGGTGGTAACTGAAACCAAGATTGGAAACAGATAGGCTGAGGACTAGAATCATGCAACTTATACAGCACATGTCTGATTTTACCAATTGGTAATTTTATTTTATATTTCTCAGAAAGAAAAAAAAAGGATATCAGGGGAGTCTTAATCCATTGTGACTGTAGAAAAGAACCAAGTGACACTTGAAACTATGAAGCTACAAATCTAACGACACAGAGTGCTGTCTCTGTGGCACAATCACCTTGAAATAGTACCCCCCTTCCTAAATGAAGTGATTGACACTAATGAATTATCAGAGCTAATAATTTGAAACAAGTCGGATTAAATCAGCATTGCTTTGAGAGAACAGGAGGAAATGCTGCCAACAACCATGTTACATTTAGTGAGACAACTGGGAGGCGGCAACAAGCCCCCGCTCGGGATTGCTTCCTGCTGACTCTGCCTCGCACTACACAAACGTGCACGTTGCCAGAGCAGATGAAAATGACTTTTACTTTATCTGGTCATTTGTAGTTTTTACAACAATGTTAAATAATTAACAACCAGAAGTCTGATGAAGAATAAACAGCAGATACTGAACGAAAAACATCAGAATTACATAGTCATTCATGATTTTGAAGAGCTGTCTTTTACATTAAAAAATGGTTAAAATGAGAAACAATAAACTTAGTAAGATTATTAACTGCTCACTCCTTAGTCTCCTTCCAGGCTCAGTGGTGTGGCAGTACTTTATTCTTTCTTTTTGCTGATTTATTTTTAAATCTTTATTGTTGAAAGCATTACAGATGTCCTCCCTTTCCTTTCCCCTTGACCCCTCCTCCTCACTCCCAACCCCCTCCTGCTTTCCCCAAACTATTGCCTGTGTCCATTGATTGTGCATGTATGCATGTAAGGTCTTTGGTTTATCTCTTTCCAACCCTCCCTCACCCCCCCTTCCCTCTGAGGTTTGTCAGTCTGTTCCCTACTTCACCTTCTGCCCATGCAAACTAGTACTAATGCTTTAACTGTAAATATTTTGGACATAACTTTTTCCACAAATACATCTGAAGCATATCAGTTATCTTATCCATCACCATTCATACTAGATCTCCATGCATAGCATTTAAATATTCATTCTCTAACTAGAATGTGTTTGGCATTGACCAGATATTAAGCGCCAAGGTCACTCAGTCAAAATAAGCTTTCAAGAGCCATCCAATAAATCAACTCACACAAATTATTCACTGGGAAATTATCCTTCTTTCTGGTGCTTGTAAGAATGGTAGAGAATGGTCTGCTGCTACCATAAAATAGTGCAATAAATAAACAAGATGGCTGGTTGTCAAGGGTAAAAATTAAACCGTTGAAATGCAATTGGGTTTCAGAGACCTTCATACTTAAACTCTGTGCAGAAAGGAGAAACAGTATTTTATAGCTCAGCCCTAAAGGTCACTTGTTTTTTAAACTGTAATTGAGAACTGAAGACTAATCATTGCTAACTATCATAGCAAAATAAAAAAAAAAATACATCAACAATTTAAGCTTGTGTTAGCAGTAAAATTATGTTTTATTTGGTAACAGGAATTCTGTTTAGCTAATGAGATCTAGCATTGTAGCTAAAATTAACACTGAAATATTTTTTAGTTATTGTTCAGTGGTGCCCATTGTTCATGCATTAGTATATTCAAGTATTCTATTTTAGAAATAAGCTTATAACCAAAGTGGTCAAAATAAATCAGGTACACCAAATTGCTTACAATTTAGCAAACATATGAATAACCTTTGACTATGATACAGAGTGAATAAGTTTGAATTATGATGACTATAATACAAAAATGAATGGCTTGAAGGTGACATATCATATCCCTTTGATAAAATATTTATACCCAGGACATAGTAAAAAAAATGCTTTACCTATTTTTTTGTTGTTGTTACATTTTGTTTTATTTTGCCTTGTTTTGAAGTCTGGCTACATGTTTCTGAGTGAAAGTGACAGGGAGACCCAAGGAGTTTCACATCGAAAGAAAACAAAACTCAAAAATAACCAACAATCAAAGAAAAATTTCCTCACCAAAGCTGAAGCAGTCCGATATAACAGCAGGAAGCCAAAATGCTCCCAGCTCATCCTCTGACAACCTTAGATTTTAGGGAGAGATTCACATAGACTTAGTGGTGTCTGGCCTGCAGTGAAAATCTTTGTAGCAAACTTTTCCTACATATAAAATTTTCTGGGAAGAGAGAGCATATTTTTCTTTAGATTTTGAAAAGGATCTCTAACTACCCCAATAAATAAGAGTAATAATACCATTCTAACAATTACCCATTAGGGTATTGTTTAACCTTCAGAAGCAGCAAATGTTACTGGAAATGCTCATACGATAATTATAATGCTAAAAGATTGTGTTTATGAATTTTTAAAAATAAATGCAATTGTTTAAAATATAATAGCACTTGACATTTGAAATTACACTGGTGCTAATACTTTTGTTTTTGCTGATCTTATTTCTTTAAATGAAAATAAAACTCTTCATGTCTTTATTACAAATGCAATATGCATTTACCACAAAAATTTTTGACTTGGAAAAGCAATTTGCAAATCACTTATAATCCTATCATGCAATGTTAGTATTTCGCAGTATACTTTTGGAGGCTCCTTCCTGTGAATGACAGTTACTCTTTTATAGATAAACAAATGTATATGTTACATAAATAATAATCTTTTGTTCTCTGAAACTGCATTTTCTTAAGTACAAAAATTAGAACAGTCTACATAACAAGTAGAACTGATGCATAAAAGAAATTCTTGCACAAAAGATAATACTGATATTCACAGAACATTTTGTCCTTTAGACTAGCTGTGCTCTTATTTTGCGAAATGTCATATACTCGGTGACTCAGTGTCTAAGTCCAAAATGTTCTAAAAATAGTAAATTAGAAGTGGAGGGCAGAGTAACTGCTACAGGAGTCACACTGACAACAGTGGATAGAAGCCTGATAAAAGTAAAAGAGAAAAAAACTATATAGAGACTGACAAATATAATGAAACAGGGCAATGAGGCCATTTAGTATGGGAGCCAACAGCTCTACACAACCGCTCAATTACTCCTGAGGTCATAGTTTTACAGCCACTATAACAAAAGTCATAAGAATAATTGGGGAGGGTAGGATTGTAGTAATCTCTCAGTCAAAAAGCAACATGAGTTGTCAAAAAAAAAAAAAAAAGTATTAAACTTTCAGATACTGAGAATAGTTGGCTCTTTAGAATGATCTACTGCCCAAAGATTCCTATAGTTAGAATATTAGCTTTTGTAATGAGACAAACATGTCTACAAATGGCTCATTAAAGATCTGATAATACAATGTGTGACTCAAAGAGAAGAAGGAGGGTTCATTCTTTAATAACAATACTGAACTTAGCATTTGGTTAAAAAAGAAAAATTATAAACTTAATTGAAAGATTTATATGTAGATAAAGTGGAAATGAAGTTAGTAGGGTGGCATCAGAATTCTCCAGAAAGAGATATATTCGAATGTGAAGAAATTGAAGTAGACCATGGAAATAATACTCTTCTTGTCATCCTTAACCTAGGATGAGCCAACATTTCAGTAGAATGGAATGGAGCTCATACCTTATAAAAAGCAATCCCTAAGGAGAAACTTCTGGGCCAGTCTTGTTTGAATTAACTAAATGTTAGGTACAAATGTTAAAAGAAATCCCTAAACTGTACTTTTCCATATGGAACCTATAAATTATATTAGAGCTTGAAACTATAAATTGTTTTGATAAAAGATGGTAGTAGAGCATACTTAAACCTTAAATGTAGCCTTCCACTTACTCACACATATACCTCAACATTCTTCATCCCTTCTCATGCTAAAACACTATAGGAAGGGAGGGTCTGCACTGCCATAGTTAGTATACCAGATAATTTTATCCATTCTTGTTGAAAATTAGTTGAACAATTTTTCATTTTGTAAATTACTATAATTTAAAGAAAACTTACTTTTAAGGCTGTTTTGAACTTCTAAAGCTATATCAAGAGCATTAAAAGGCAGAACTGGTTCGTTGGCAATTTGTAAAATCACTTCTCCTGAGAGCTGAAAGAAAAAGAAAAAGAAATGATAGCATTCAGTATTAAGGGTTTTCGTTTGTTTTTCATTATTCCATACACCCTTATATATCCAGAGGAGCAGAAACACAGAGGACAAAACGTACTTTTATAAAATCACTTTTTTCTTTTAAATCTTTTTAAAAAATTTTTAATAAAGAAAAAAAATACCCTCAATATCTATTTCATGTCTCAGGCTAGTACAAAGAAATATTAAATGTGTGGTGTGTTGGTTTTTTTAAACTAAATATTAAGAAATCACTTTCCTACTTGGATTTGTAATATTCAAACTTTAAAACAATTCACATGATAAAACAAACAGTAGAGAGAACCGGAAAATCAATATCTAGTTATTGATCTCAGTAAAACTTAATGATCAAGTGATTTCATTTAAAATGTTATTCAATCTAAAAAAATCCTTTAAAATCTCAGGTGATCTTTTCCTTTATGTTTTACTATTTTTGTAATTAGTTTTATAAAATTTATCAAAACCAATAAAATTTATACAGCTGCAAGGTCAATGTATAAATTAAATTTAAAAATATAAAATTCTAAATGGTATCACCAGAACCCATACCTGGAATTTTTATATATGCATATCCCCAACCACAAGACTCGAAAACTGTTTGAAAACCACCATATGCATTGCAGCTGAACGGGCATCTGTTAACAGACTGAAGGGTTCATATACATTTGTGTTTTTCTCAAAGGAACTTCTGACTGGTGGCACATGCATTGCTACTCTTCCTCTCTCAACTGACATTTAATATTTACCAGGGCTATACGAATGTCCTACATGGCTTAGAGCCCTAAAGCTGGCACACCGTGAAATGTGCCTGGGTTAATGTTACTAATAAACTATGAGACATTATCAGTGAATTAAAATATTGTTTAGTGAAACTACACAAGAGAAATGAGCACACTCAATTGAAACAGTACAGAACACATAAGAGATACAACTTATAAGAAACTATGATGTTAAGTATTCAAATCCACATATTCAACAAGGCTCAAATTCCTTTTAATATTTCAAAATTATATTTCCCAATTGTTTACACAATCTATAGCATGATAAAAATGCAATTCAATTTGATCTTCTATATGCTCAGAGAAACACAATTCTTAGAAATAAAGAAGAAAAATAAAAATAAAAACTTTGACATCCCTTTATTTCTTTGAGATATTTTCCTCCCAAATGTAGCAACCACTTCTTCCCCAGTGCCTAAGGTATATTTGCAAAGTTTTATCACCAGCATAGTGATCACAAAAATCCTGGGAACGTGCCTATTCTGATTATGCTGCCTGCAATACATTGATATGAATCCTGTTTCTATTCCATTGCACCCCATCCAAATCATACAAGGAACACTGATATTTGGAAATAAATTATTTGCAAAAAAAGAAAATTTGAAAGAAGATTAAGAAGCATTATAGTTTCTTTTTCCAATTTGCACTGGATAATAGAAACTATAGAACAGACATGTTTTGTTTACACTTCTGGAATCTGGAAACCACACATTACAAAAGATTAAAATGAAAGAATGGGGAGGGAGGAAAAAGGTGACTTCTCTGTGTGTTGCAGGAGAGAGTTGTTTTGTTTTGCTTTCTTAAGAGTCATTTGGCAGCTCAAACAACTGGAATATAAGCCAGTCACCTTGCTTTTCTTTCAGGAAAAACTGGCAACAAATTTTAGGATTTCTAAGTCACCTGGCCCACGATAGACTGCTTAGACTAAATCGGCTTTATTTGCAGCTGCATAAACAAGAGGGAGATTTGTGTATGCCTTGCCATGAAGTAAGAAGAGATTAGACTTACTGCATATACGCTTCACCTACCTTGAAATTCAACCTTATTCAGTCATGTCAAAGCAACCTTCTCTTGTAATTATATAAGGCCCCATTCTTTTCAAAGTGCTTTATACCTAAATATTTCAGTATCTCGATGAGCCTAGAGGCTGGTAATGGAGGAATAAATCCTGTGTTAGAAACATTGAGTATAAGACCTGGCCAGGTGGCTCAGTTGGTTGGAGCATCATCCTGTACACCAAAAGGTTGCGGGTTTGATTTCTGGTCAGGGCACATACCTCGGTTGTGAGTCCAATACACAATAGAGGCACTTTGGAAAGGCAACCAATCGGTGTTTCTCCCCCCACCCCTTCCTATCTCTGTAAAAATTCATTTAAAAAAAAATAACATATCCTCGAGTGAGGATTAAAATATAAAATAAAACAACATTGAGTATAAATCTTACTGGGTTACAATCTAAGATGATGACATAGGAGGATCCTTAAACTCATCTCCGTTCCTGAACACACTGAGTCCACAGCCACACCTGAAATAATTCCCTCTGGAAAAAAATCCAGAAACTGGGCTAAAGAGAAAAAACCCACATAAAAATGGATAAGAAAGTCTGAGACCTATTCTGGCACTAAAACCCACTGCATCACAGGGACATACAATGGGGCAGAAGCTCACAACTCTTAGTTTTTGCCTGAGGAGAGAAGTGTTTGGATCCAACATTTAGTGCCCTAACTTTTAAGATTTTTATTTGAGCCCTGAAAGCCAATGGGTCCTGTGTATACTAGATCCAAATCACTATAGCAAACAAACAAACAAACAAATAAACAAAACAGTTCTTAAAAATTTGGAGAAGACCACTGTAACTTTTCTCCCAGGGTTCATTGCACAAGCAATAGGCAAAAAAATAAAAAAGAAAATGACCATCTTCCAATCATTCCCTGAAAGAGGACTATCTGCATATCTCAAAATCTGTAGCCTGAGGGTCAGGTTTCTAATTCAACACATATCTAGGGGCCAAGTGAAATCCTCTTTGGAGATCAGAGATTGCCAGGTGCCATCTTTGTGTACTTCCTCTGCCTGCTCAAAATCACAGGTGTCTCTCTGAAAGAGGTTGTGCATATATCTGGTACCTGGTTTCTGTGGCTACCACTCAAGGAAGGGATGCATCCCTTGATCCTCTGGCTATGATGGTCAGTGGGGCTTACATTCACAGGTCATACAGAATGTAGCAAACAAACAAACAGAAAACTTGTCTTAACTGTCTATCCCTCCAGGGTTCAGTATAGAGGTAGCAGAGTAAAATGTGCATCTCTTACTTTTGCCCTGAAAGAGGTTTAGCATGTGCTTCAAAAGTTGCTGTCTGAGCATTTGGCTTTCAATGAGCCGGCATCTAGGTGCTGAATGAAGTTTTCCCTTTAAGGCACTATCAGATCTTGACACACCTTTAGCTACTAACAACAAAGAGTTCATCTTGGACATTCACAAAGATTTGAGTGACAAGAGCTTGTATTGGATTGGATTGAATGATAAGATTCATCTCCTACAGGAGACCATTCCATGAAGAATAGGAGAGGTAACTATTTTATCTAATGCCCAGAAAGACAAGAAAAATAAAGAAATATGCTTCAAAGAACAAGATAAAACTCCAGAAACAGAGTTCAATAAAATGAATATAAGTGATTTACCTGATAAAGAGTTCATAATAATTGTCATAAATTTGTTCACCAAGATGAGTAGAACAATGCAGGAACATAGTGATAATTCCAATAAAAAGAGAGAAAATATAAGAGAGTACCAAACAGAAGTCACAGAGGTGAAGAAAACAATAATTGAACTTAAAAGTTAAATATAGGGGATTAACGGCAGACTAGATCAAGTAGAAGAAAGCACTGGCAATCTCAAATGCAGGGCAATGGAATTCATCTAATCAGAAAAGAAAAAAGAAAACAAAAGAAAAAAGAGTAAAGGTAGCTTAAGGGACATATGGGACACCATCAAGTGGATCAATATCAGCATTATAGGGGACCCAGATGAAGAAAAGAAAGAGAAATAGGCAGAAAGCTTATTTAAAAAAATATTAATAATGGTTGAACACTTTCAAAAGTGAGGAAAGAAACAAACATTCAGATCCAGGAATTACAGATAGTTCCAAATAAGATAAATTCAAAAAGACACCAAAACCCATCATAATTAAATTGTCAAAAGTAAAACAGCAAAGGAAAAGCAACTTGTTACATACAGGGAACCTGCGTGACAATCAGAAAATTTATCAACAGAAACTTCGTAAGTCAGGAGAGATTGGATATATTTAAAGTGCTAAGAGAAAAAAAATGCCAATCAACCAATCAATAAATATCCAGCATAGTTATCCTCTATTGAAAGAGAGATAAAGTTTTCCAGACAAGTAAAAGCTGAAAAAGTTTATTACCACTAGTCCAGCCTTACATAAAATGCTAGAGGAAATTCTTCAAGCTGAAACAAAGGATGCTACTTAGTAACAGAAAAACATATGAAAGTATAAATTTTACTGGAAAAAGTAAATATAAAGCTAAATTTAGAATACTTTAATTTTTAATGGTGGTGGGTACATTTCTTATAAATATAGTATAAAGGATAAATGATAAAAATGTCAAAATAATATAACTACAATCATTTTTTAATGACTATACAAGGTTAAAGATGCAACTACACATTTGAACTAAAATTACTTTCAGCTTAAAATAGACCATTGCAAATATAAGATTTAAGATATAAATATCTTATATTTATATAAACCTCATGGTAATCACAAAATCAAGAACCTATACAAGATACACAAAAATAAAGAGAAAGAACTCTTAAGTATACCACTACAGAAAATTATCAAATCACAAAGGAAGAGAAGCAAGAGAAGAATAAAGGTACAAAGGAATTACCAAACAGCCAGAAAACAATTACCAGAATGGCAATAGTAGGTCCATAACTATTAATAATTACCTTAAATGTAAATGGACTAAATTCTCCAATAAAATAATGGATAGAGAGTGGCTGATTGAATAAAAACACAAGACCCAACTCTATCTTGTCCACCAGAGACTTTATCTTTAAGGACAAACAGAGACTGGAAGTAAAGGGATGAAAAAATATGTCATACAAATGAAAACCCAAAGAAAGGAGAGGTATCTATACTTACGTAAGATAAAGACTGTAT